TCCATGGAGGCCTCTCTTACTGTCTTACAGTACATTTAAATGGCAGCTTCTCCCCACAACCCTCAAATTCTCAGACTTTCACTCTGTCCTCCCTTTCTTCTATGCTTAATTCCCCCATAGTACTTGCTGAAAAGAATTATTTGTTTATTCATTTTATTTTTATGAGATAGCATCTTACACTGTAGCCTAGACTTGCCTCAAACTCACAGCAATCCTACTGTCTCAATTTCCCAAATACTGGGATTCTTGGCTTGAGCTGCCATACTCTGCTTGATTTATTTACATGCTGTCTTACAAATTTTTGTTTTGTTCATTATTGTGTCCCAGTCTTGAAGCCTATAGGTGTTTGTATCAGAAACTTTTCTCATCATGACAAAAATTCTGAAAGGAACAACTTATGGAAGGAAGAATTCCTTTGGGCTCCAGGTGTGATGGTGGTGGGAAGGCATGGTGGAATCGCAGCAGCTCCTGGCTGGGGCAACAGGAGTATGAGGCTGCCTGTTCAGTTTTCTGCGGATCAGGAAGCAGAGGACGTGGTGCTAGAAGTGGGCTGTGTTGTCACACCTGAGGCATGATCCCTACATTCTTTTGCTCCAGTCCACCTCCTGAAGGCCCCACACCTCCCCAATAAGGGAAACCCACTAGAGACCAAGAGGTCAAACGCATGAGCCTGGGGACATAGCTCACATGCAAACCTTAACAGTGTTCAGAACCGTAAAGAAGTGGATAGGGCCTTGTATTGCAAGAACAAGAAGTTTACTTATTCCCAAAGTCTCTAGTCCTGCCAATGCTGACAGTGAGTGTGTGCCCACGTAAGCAACAGCATCATCCAACCTCACCATTGAAGTCTACTGCAGTTCCAGACACCGGGCTGTGCCCTGCTACTGTCAAGTAGCTCACAATCAGAGAATCACCTCATGGAGCTGGACTGTTGTACAGCCTACACAACTGTATGTTTATCAGACTCAGGGAGACTGGGTTCATGCAGTTCTTTGAGGGGAGAGAAAAAGAGCAGGAAAATGAAAGTGACATCAGAAAGAGGAAAAAATAGTTGGAAAAGTAGCTGAAGAGGAGAACAGGAAGGAGCTACATAAGAAAGGGGAAAGGCTGATAGATCCTGGCCTCATCCTCCCCCTCCCATCCCTTGTTGTCGCTGCCTGATTGTTCCTCCAGGACCCCCCTGCCTGTCTCCAGCCTTCCCTAGTCCTTGATTTATGCATAAACCTTGGAAGACAATCAGTGGCTCCAGTCCCTCACTGCCTCAGGTCTAATGGTTATTTGGTACATTAATATGCCAAAAGCATACCTTAACGTTTAACAACACACTTTGCTCCTCCAGCTAAATTCTAATTATGGAATGTCTACCGTAGAGTTTCAGTATGTCCAACAGGAGCTGAGTGAACAGTAATTGGAGCCAGAGTAGGTGCAGGTATACCCATAAGAGGCTGTGTATGATATGGGAATGGGAGTCTTAGCTAACAGCTATCACAACAGATGTGTGCCAGCAACACCCAGGAAGAGGAGACAGTGAGGCCTTCTCATGACTAGATTCAACAAGAGAAAGGATAAAACAGGACGCCATCTTTAGGGAATTAGCAGTTCTGCATGGATTTTTATAATACTGATATTTGTATAGGAGTTTTTGGTGTAGGAGCAACTGGGTAGAAGATGGAAAACTAGCCTTTAAATACATTTACAGGAAATCAATCATTTGGAATTGGGAATGAGTCCTACCAACAACAACAAAAAAAAAAAAAGAAGAAGTATCAATAAGCACAATATACAGGTTTCTGTATCATAAACAAGACTTTTATTTTTAATCACAGAAGGTGGTTCATTTATGTGAGAAGAGATTTGATGTCTGTTCCTTGCCCATTTTCTAATGAGGTTATATAGCAAAAGCAGCAAAGCACAAACTTGAACATAGTTAGAGAAGAAAGCTTTTAAACAAAACTTTAACCATTCTCAGGGCTATTTAAAGCAAGAGAGGAATACAATTGTACATATTTTCCTATGGTTGCTAGCCCTCATGATTGCATTTCAAGTTTTATAAGAAATTAAAGTGGAGGAGTGGGGAACCCTGGCAACAGCCAGGGTAAGACACAGGTTGAAGACATGCTCTGGAGAAAGACAACTCACAGACACAGAAAGGGAAAAGTAGCCACAGCTGATGGTATTAATGGAGTGTCCACGCCTCGTTTGTGAGATACAGGCAATGGCAGGTAAATGTTTACAGATGCTGTTCACCCTTATCACTTTCAGCCTGTGAACTGGGGCCTGCTTCTCCTCTGGTGTACACCATGTGCACTGTGTGATAACCTCAAGCTCCAGTGTTGAACACAGTCATGTGTACTGGCATTTGCTCCACCCATGACCTTGGACTATACAGCCCAAAGGAGGTGATGCCTCCTGTAGTTGTAGATGACCTCTTATAAGGAGTTGGAGAAGGGTCACATGCCCCTTCTCCCTGCTCCTGCCTGCAAAGTGGATTCACTCCTGGTCAGATCAAAGCACAACTTCAGCTGTCTACTCACTCTGTATTTCCTCAATTTATATCTTAATAAATTTTGTTACCCATTTAATAGACTCACATGGATTGATCATAATAAGTGATGCCCAATGTAGGGCTCGAACCCAGGACCATGAGATTAAGAGTTTCATACTCTACTGACTGAGCTAGCTAGAGTTCAGCATGGTGTCTAGAGAGCTCCTGTGAGCGAGGACTCTTCCTGTGCTGCATGCTCTGACATGTGAGTTCATCTTTGCTGAAAGATAGCTGTGATGGGGGGAATGTTTATGACCCCAGCTCTGGTTCCTATGCTGAAAGACTGGTTTCTAGTGGGACTCCGTGTGAAGGTGTAGCCATTAGGAAGTCACTGACTTCAGATTAGGTCACAAAGGTGTGGTCCCACAGTGTGGTTAGTGCCCTTTTAAGATGAGAAAGAGAGACCAGGGCTTCCTCTCTCTGTGTGTGAAGACACAGAGAACAGACAGCCACCTGCCAACAGGGAAGGGAGCCCTCACCACCAACACAACTGCGGTACCTTGAGGTTGAACTTCAGCCTCCAGATCTGTGAGAAAGAAATACCATTTAAGCAGCCCACTGGCAATGGTGTGTTATAGCAGGTCAGACTGACTAAGGTGTATACTTTCGCTTGGCTTAATCTATTGGTTAGTTTGTAGGCAAATGCTCTTCCAGCTTTATACACTGGGCAAGACAGAGTTCATTCAGCTCCTGATCTGTGTTCACCGCCTCTCCTGTGCTGACAGAAAAGGCTCTGCCTTCTTCCTGAGACCCTATCTTTACTCCTTCACTCTCTAATCTCAGCAAATTCTGAAGCAAATATTTGAAATCCCCCAGGTAAAGGCAGATAGAGCACCAGCTGTCTTCTGCCTTTGCTGAAGAAGCCCTTCACTATGGCAGCCACAGAGTCAGAGAATCCCCTGCCTTTCTCCCAATCCCACACCCCACGTTTCCAGAGAGCATCAGTCTTCCCATACACATGGAAGCTGCCAGCGACAGGGACAGCAAGAGCCACGTGACTATGCCCGTCAGGCCATTGGCCAAGTGATTTGTGTATTCCCCCTAAACATCTCTAATCCCCCCACCAATGCTACATTGTGTTCATTATTATCCTCATTTGACTGAGGAGGAAGCTAAGGCATGCGAGGTTAAGCTCTTGTGGCAGCGGGAAGGCTGATCATCTGGGCACCTTCAGGCCGCACTAGCCTGTGTCTAGAGGGGACGCGGCTGTACTGGAGACTGAGCTGTGACTTCTGGCTGCACTGTGGTCTCCGTGCAGAAACAGAAGCCCCCAGCGTCAGGAGTTGGGTGATGTCATCCTATGTGCTTCTGTCTTCTATAGAGCCTTCTCTTGCCCTGCTGGATGCTGTGGGATAGGATCCCAGAGTCTGTTCTAGAAAACCGGAGGAGGACCTCCTCTTTACCTCCTAGTATCCTTCAAACAATGTTGCTGTTTCTGCTGAATGATGTCATCCTGGTTCCTTTCTCAGCCCAGCCATAATAATAGCCTGAGAGAAAAGTACAGCCCTGAGCACCTTTCTGTAGCTTTCAAGACCAGAACTGGGACCCCCACGGACACTTGCACAAGTTGTGGATTGTGTAGTTCACAGTATCGTGGCCATACTGACATCAGGGATGCCCACATGCATAATGTGTTTTCAGCAGGTGCCAGTGAAATGTCTTGGGTTTGTGTGTTTGTCTGGGTTTTTATTTGTTTGGAGATGGGGTCTCATACAACCTGTGCTGTCCTTAATTCCCTATATAAGGAGCCAAGGGTGACTTTGACTCTAGTTTTCTTCCTCTACCTCGCAAATGTTAGGATCACAGGAATGTGCCACCATGACCAGCCTAAATGCCATGCTCCTTCCTCAATGTTCACTAGTATTGTGTAGGAACTGATGTAGGCACCAGAGCTGACAGGGCTAAGACTTTTCTGCAAGCTGCCTCTGAACTGCAGCCACTCCAAAACACTAACACAGTGGCTCCTCCCTTGCACCCACGAAGACTAAACACACTAAGTCCTTTCCAGGGCTTTAGCCTAACCCAGACCTCCAGGAGCTCCTCTGCTTCCACCTGGAACATGACTAGCCCTTGCCTGGAAAAGTGGTTGCTATCCCTAGCACGGAGCAGGAGAGTGGGTAAAACATATATGTTCACTTTCTTTTCTTCCTAAGTGCATATAGAATAAGGAAAGCAGCACCAGGATCCCAGTTAATCCCCTACCTATACCAGGGAATCCCCTACTGGGTCATGATTTTCATTTAGTCTCTCCCTGGTCTTTAAAATAAATGAATCCAGAGAAGTTTCCTAATTTTTTTTTGACAGTGGTTCATGTAGCCCAGGCTGGCTTCAAACTCACTATATAGCTGAAGCTGGCGATGTAGGAGAGAAATTTATATCAACTGAAGAAGCACAGGAATCTAGTAAAGAGGGAGACTCTGAGCTGCATTTTCAGAAAATTCTGCCATGCTCTGTGTCCTCCAACCTGAATCTCCTTTAGAGAAATTCAAGGGAGAAAAAAATGTCCGGGAAAGGTGTTAGAAAGCAGGCTGTGTCTGGGGATGTGACTCTGGGACAGCTACATCTCAAGAGAGGAGATCCAGAAATACTGGCTGCATTCCTTTTTGATGTTCTGTCCATTTTTCCTCTGCCTTTGTTCGTCAGTCTTTCTGAAATGCAGTTACATAAGAACTTGTTTCCGTGGGCTTTAGTCTGACAAGAAAAAGAAAAGTCACGCTTAAGTGATCTCGGAGAAGCTTGAGGCCAACCCCTTTCAAAATCCTCTGTTCTCAGCGTAGAAAAGAAAGTGCCCAAATGTCCAAGTGAAGAACCGCTACCATGTTACCATCCCGGTGGGGCAAGTTGGGGAAGGCAATAGACGTGTTAGTGAGAATTAAATGTCCCTAAAACAGGGGCTGCTATCTGATATTCTAAATCTAGCCGTGGCTCCAAAATGGTTACCTCAAATTAGAGATGTCCCTCAATTGGGGTAAAAATGAGTTTGAGATGTTTCCAAACAGCTAAGGTACTAAAGGATATCAAACAATTGTAAACTGAGATGAATTTAGTTTCCTGGCATTGAAAGAAATTTCTATTAGGTTATCTGTGATTCCCTTACAATAACCATATACACTGCCATCCGGTTTGCTTTATTTCATTCAGTAACAATTAGCAGTAGTGTTAATTAGCTCTGAGTCAGCATTCCATCAAAGGTGGCAAGTTCTAATGAATCTTGCTGTGTTGATGTTGTTTAATGAGGCACTGCCCTTCCCATGATCAATCTGGAATTTTCTGTGATGACAAAGATTTGTGAAGCTTCTGGGGAATGATCTCAGGTTCATCTTTAGATGCCAGTGTTTATGTGTCGCCTAAATGCATATGTGTGTGTGGGAGATAAAGGGAGGGAAGAGGAGGGACAATGACCTTAAGGTTAGGGACAACATTTAAGTTCACTGAAATCAATGGCTCCTGTTTATTTTCCTTTGGGCCTGTGGGCTCTATGGGATCTCATCACCTCCACACCTGCATCTGCTGGGTTTGTTGACTTTCCACCCGTGAATGCATTTGATAAACAGAGCTCCTAGTGAACAGCAACAAAGCGGAGGAGCTGGAGAAAGCCGCTAAAAGGAAAGCCAAGCTATATGTGAGAAAGAACTTATTTGAGTAAATAAAATAAATGCATGATTTTAATTCAAGATAGAAATTTTGTATTAACTCCACAATGGAAAATAAATGCCCTGGAGAGAGGACTTTGTCATGGCTTTAAAAAAAAAAAAAAAAAAAAAAATTGAACTCACCATTGGTTTAAATTGTAAAACTAAAGCCGGCCTCTGATTCACTCACCTGAGGAGGGAGCTGGGATCTGTCACCGTGTCGTTTCTCATCTTTTCCACTCATGACTGCAGGATTAGGTCTTCAGGATTATTCTGAATAGTTGTTTAGATTACTGTAACACCTTTCATGTCCCTGGGCCTAAAGAGGCTTCTATGTGTTTTGTCTTTATGCAATGTTGGAAAGCCCTTTAGAGGAAGAAAGTCATGTCAAGACAGCAAGAAACTATTTCATGATGTCCATCAGCGCACGCGCACACACACACACCCTCCTAAGCCTTCCGCTTGCAGAAATTGTACACTTTTGAATTAACTGTTTTGCTCTCACTCTGGTTAAAGTATTTGAGGGGAGATCTGTTTTAGAGGGGATGGTTATTTTGGTTCACAGTTGCAGAGCCTGCTGCTGAGTCTGAGGTGGCCAAGCACAGCAGATCAGAGATCATCGGGCTCTGAGAAAAACTGCAAAGCTCTCTCTGACCGGCTTCCACGAAGCGCTTTCCTCTTCTCCCTCGGGAACATGTGCAAGGCATCATTGCCCTTTTCCTGGCAAACCTCTCCACTTACAGATGCTTGCACCTTTAAACATATTCCTTCATCTAATGTATTTCATTTTGAACAGAATAAATTGTGGGTAAGATGGCTTCTATGAAAGCCTCCACCTATCGCAGGAGAGGATCCACCCCAGACCACTCTCCGTGGGGAGCCGAAGGGTTCACCAAGACTTGCCTCGGTGCTGTTGCCTTGAGCTTAGTCTGTCCAAGTCTGGACGGTGTACTTTACTTGTTATTTTCCTGCTGAAATACACATATTACTCTGTTGCTTTGCCTGTGCCCTATGTAAATTCTTCTCTGTTGAGCACATAAGAACCCAGCAGGCTCAAAAGAACAGAATGGCCTGAACCCTGTGGGGGTGGGAGAGAATGCAGGGGGAGATATCTCTCCTCATCCATAATAATGAGAAGCTCCTATATGGACGAAAGAGTGAAAGACCAATAAGAAGAGCTAAATAGATAAAAAATCATTGAATAAAATGTGTTGTTGGTTGTGTTTGCTCTTTTGGGGGGCGGGGGTGCCACCCAGTTCCCAAATAAATCACACATGGATGCTTATTCGTAATTATAAATGCTTGGCCTTAGCTTGACTTGTTTTCTAGCCAGCTTTTCTTAAATTATCCCACCTACCTTTTGCCTCTGTGCTTTTTTCTTTTCTTATTTCTGTATGTCTTACTTTCACTCTTACTCCATGGCTGGTTGGGTGGCTGGCCCCTAGCATCCTCTTCTCCTTGTTCTCTTGCTCTTTCTTCTGTCCCTCCCAGATTTCTTCTTCTGTTTATTCTCTCTGTCTGCCAGGCCTGCCTATCCTTCCTCCTGCTTTGCTATTGGCTGCTCAGCTCTTTATTAGACCATCAGGTGTTTTAGACAGGCAAAGTGGCACAGCTTCACAGAGTTAAACAAATGCAACATAAAAGAATGCAACACATCTTATCATTAAACAAATGTTCCACAGCATAAACAAATGTGACACATCTTTAAATAATATTCTACAACAAAAATGTGTTTATAAAGCATACACAATTTTAAAGATTTACTTTATTTTATGTCTACAAGTTTTTTACCTCTCTGTATGTGCACCTGTGTGCGTGCCTAGTGTCCTTGGATGACAAAAGATGGTATGGATCCCCTGAAACTGGAGTTACAGAAGGTTGAGTGGTACCATGTGGATGCTGGGAACTAAACCCACATCCTCTGCAAGAGCAGAAAGTGCTCTTAACTGCTGAGTCATCTCTCATGCCTACAGCCATACTCTGTTTTACCAATTTTTCATTTAGTAGGGAAGAAAATGAAGTGAAATAAAGTTGAAAAAGTGATTGATCTTAAGTTTCTCTGTAATAAGACCAGATATTCCTGCCAAAGGTAAGAATGAAATCCCATGTGGTAACTCACATGGAGCCACATGCTTGAGATTGTGTGTGTGGATTGTAGATTCTACATGGTTACCCTTGACAAGGACTTCCGAGACAGGGCACGTGACCAACACTGAGCTGCAAGGGAAACTGTGGTGGGCAGGACTAACGGAGTTTGTGTTACTTGATGGTGCCAAATTCTCCCTACTAGAGAGCTCAGTGACAATGATTGCCTAGAATCACAAAGGCATGGCTTTGGTCCCCAGCACTGCATAAAAAATCCTCGTTAGATTGCCAGGGCTTCAGAATGAGCTATCTTTGATTGCCAAGTATTGTGTGACAGGAAAATAGACTACATTTATACACAAGTGGCATTTCCTAACAAAATGATTTCTGTAGAACTGTGTGCGTATTAACTTATAAAAATGGTGACATCTCAACATTAAAGATAATTAAGAATAATTAAAAGCAGACAAATGGTGAATGTAAAAACTTACTGAGCATGCTTATGTAGCCACTTTAATCTACATATAGTAAGAAGGTATTTGCTAGAGTCTGGTAGATCAAGAACATAGTCTGAGTAATAATAAAAACAAAACTGCATGGATAGTCTCAGGAAGATATTTAAATTATAATTATATACAAATACATGTAACTATGTATGCAAAGACCCTAAAATACTAGTTATGTGGTAAGTAACTAATTGATGTGGTTTTGCTCCTCTGTATTTCCCTTTTTACCTGTAATCAATTAGTGTTCTTGCAGTAAGATAAGAAGTTAGCGTGAAAACAGATCGGAAACTATTTTAGTGCTTTGCTCTTTACAGCAGGTAAGAGTAAACAGTATAATTTCAAAGCCACAGGGAGCTGGTTTCAAAGCATCCCTCCTGCTTCCTCCACTAAGGCTGCTGTGACACATGACACATGGGCTTGGCATGTCTTGTGACTCTGGGGTCTGGAGTGGTTACACCAACACACACTTAATGGTCTGTTGGGGGCCACCAGCTGCTGTAACCTTGGGCTTATCAGCACCCTTCATTTCCAAGAAGCCATCCATCTCTTTCAGAAACACTGTTTCTTAGGAGATGCATGGATATGCAACACAGCCTCTCTATTGAGAAATGTGCAGAGCCATTACAGCAAGAAGATAGCAGGTTAATACTACATCATGAATCAAGTCCTACGACTCCGGGAACACCCAAGAATCACAGAAAATAACATTTCCTGGGCCAGAGACATGGTCCAGCTGGTAAAAGCAATTAATACCTCCAGAGGATACAGGTCTCATGACCTCAGTTCCATCCTTGGAACCCGTGTAAAGGTGGAAGGGAATAACTGATTCCAATATGACTCTCCCTCCCTCCCTCTCCCTCTCCCTCTCCCTCTCCCTCTCCCTCTCCCTC